CCAGAAATTATCAATGAGTTGCTACCCGGTCAGACTTCGGTGGATCGACCAGACTTGGTAGCACGCGTATTTGAGTTAAAACGTTGTTCTCTTCTTCGCGATATCAAGGAAAATGACATTTTCGGTAAAGCAGTCGCTCATGTCTATACAATCGAATTTCAAAAACGTGGCCTTCCTCATATACACTTTTTGATCTTTCTATGCAACGACTGCAAAATCAAGGAACCTGCAGATGTTGATTGTATTGTGTGTGCAGAGTTCCCTGACAAGGAGACAGATCCGATGCTATTTGATATCGTATTACGTTATATGGTCCACGGGCCTTGCGGTGTTCGTAATCCACGAGCTCCATGTATGGAACATGGCAAATGTAAAAAAAATTATCCAAAAAACTTCCATAACGTAACATCCATGGATGAAGATGGATACCCCCGCTATGCTAAAAGAGAGGATGGACGGATATTTAATATTGGCAATAAAACTGTTGATAATCGGGATATAGTACCTTACAACGCGACTCTCAGCCGTAAATACAATTGTCATATTAATATTGAGGTCTGTGCATCCGTACGTGCCGTCAAATACATTCACAAGTACATCTACAAAGGTCATGACCGGACTACAATGAAATTCGGACAAGAACCTGATGAGATCAAACAGTACATCGATGCAAGATACGTTAGTGCACCCGAAGCCACGTGGCGTCTTTTTGGCATGAAAATGCACGAAGAGGTACCAAATATAGTGCGATTGGCATTACATCTTCCGGGAATGCATAGTGTCGTCTTTGATCCTAATGATGATGCCGCACATGTTCTTGCCCGTGCTAACCGACAAAAAACTACTCTTATAGCTTTCTTTGAGACGTGCGCAACTATTGATGTAGCCCGCCAGTATACGTACCAGGAATTCCCTCAACATTTTGTTTGGAACAAAAAGGACAAAAGATGGACAATACGAAAGCGAGGATTTGCTATCGGTAGACTATATTTTGCTAATCCATCTGCAAGGGAAATCTTTTACCTTCGGCTCCTTCTCACTGTTGTTCGTGGCCCACAATCGTTTAATCACTTAAAAACGGTCAATAATATTGCCCACCCAACATTTAAAGATGCATGTCTAGCCCTGGGTTTATTAGAGGACGATGAAGAATGGATCCAGTATCTAGAAGAAGCTGCAGTCATGTGTAGTGGCTTTCAACTGAGGTTACTTTTTGCTGTTATACTTATACATTGCACTCCGACTCAACCTCAAGATTTATGGTTACGCTTTCGTGTTAATCTCTGTGATGATCTCCTTTATCGTCTAAGTAATGAACATGCTATTCGTGAACCTACTGAGAGTCAGATATTTGATTTTGGACTTTTTCTCCTTGACAACATCCTGCATGATTTTAACCAACATCTTGGCATGTTCTCCTCGATGCCTCTTTGGGAGCATAACTGGGATAATTATCAGAGAAACCGTTTCATTTCTGAACATTTAAATTGGGATCAAAATGAGCTTCGAAATACGGTTGACAATCTTATTTCTCAGATGAATAATGAGCAGCGTGCAGCATATCAAGACATTTTCAACTCCGTAACTGAACAATATGGTAAATTATTTTTTCTTAACGGTCCTGCTGGAACTGGAAAGACTTTTGTATATAATATCCTTGCCATGAAGGTTCGCAGTGAAGGCATGGTCGCGATTTGTGTGGCTTCCTCAGGCATCGCCGCTCTTTTGCTCAGTGGTGGTCGGACGGCTCATTCAACATTCAAAATTCCCATCAACGTCAATGATAGTTCATTTTGTTCAATTGAAAAAAACTCTGCTCATGCTGATTTAATACGTTGCACATCCCTTATTATTTGGGATGAAGTACCAATGCAACATCGTCACTGTGTTGAGGCAGTTGATCGCACCTTACGAGATATTCGTGATGATCAACGTCCATTTGGAGGAATTACAGTTGTATTCGGCGGCGATTTCCGTCAAACTTTGCCTGTTGTTGTTAAGGGCTCTCGGGAACAAGTTATAGATGCTTCACTCCAAAGATCGCAGTTATGGATGCATGTTAAAGTACATACATTAAAGAAAAATATGCGTCTTGAGGGTGAATCAGAAGAAAATAAACGATATGCACAATGGCTTTTAGATGTAAGAATTGTAGACATCTCTCTTACCATTATATTTGGTATTATATCTGAATATTCTTTTACTCCATGTTATAGGTTGGAAATGACGTTAATGAATCTAAAGTTGCCATTCCAGAAAACATGAGAGTTAGTCCTGATTTAAAATCTCTTATCGACGCAGTTTATTATAACATCAGCGTCGAAGGTATATGCACTAATCAATATCTTAAGGACCGGATAATACTCTCCTCACGCAATGATGATGTTGATGCTATTAACCGTACCATTCTTAACATCTTTCCTGGAAATAAACGGACATATTTAAGTTCAGATAATGTTGTTATAGAGGAAGGTGCTGATAATATTGGAAATATCTATCCCGTTGAATACCTGAATTCTCTTAATCCTGCCGGTATGCCACCGTCGAAACTTGATCTCAAGATTGGATGTCCCATCATACTTCTTCGCAACCTTTCACCTTATCAGGGTCTCTGCAATGGTTCTCGCTTAGTCGTAACAAGGCTTACAGATCATGTAGTTGAGGCTTGCATTTTATGCGGTGACCATGTCGGCAAATTAGTTTTTATTCCCCGAATATCTCTTACTCCTTCTACTTCAGAACTTCCGTTTACTTTTAGACGCCGCCAGTTTCCCATCCGTCTAGCTTTCGCCATGACTATAAACAAGTCGCAGGGCCAATCTGTAAAACATGTTGGGTTAGATCTTAGAACACCTGTTTTCTCTCATGGGCAACTCTACGTAGCTCTTTCTCGATGTACTTCTTCACGTTTTATAAAAGTTCTCCTTTGTGACGACTTCACCTCAAATATAGTCTATCCCGAAGTATTATTAGATTAGTAGTAGTAAGATTAGATAGTTATTTTTCTGATCGACGTGTCATTGTGTCATTTGTACGTAATTACGGTAACGGAGCTCACGTGATCGTCCGTGCTCAACGGCAAAATTCTCGGAAAAGTGGATTAAATAAATTATCGATCAAAGATTTTATAGACTGTAAGTTTTTACAAAATTTATTCATATATTTTTTGAGCAATTAGTTGAGTAACTATATTATAATTGTCAACTTTATAGGGAGTAAGCTTTCACAGGAATGC